ATATTCAACACCCAAAACAACTTGTCCCATGTCTAATAATAGCCAAGTACCTATAATGCAAGAAAAAAAATATTATTAACTGATTTATTAAGGGTTGAAAGATTTTAAAAAGCATCTGTAGAGTCATTTGAGCAATCTGGTGTATCGCTTAAACGATCTGGTATATCGCTTAAGCGATATAATGGATAAATAAGCTTGATCGCTTAAGTGATCTTTTGCCTTTTACTTGATCACTTAAGCAATCTGCTGCCATACACCAGACATAACATATCGCTTAAGCGATCTTTTGTCATTTACCTAATCGCTTAAGCGATCTGCTGTCAGATACCAGCCTTATAGCAGATCGCTTAAGCGATCTTTTGCTGCATTATACCAGACATACCAGATCGCTTAAGCAATACACCAGATCACTTAAGCGATCCATCATATCCAGAATACATTTTCAGTCATCTCCACCTACAATCGGTGCTACCACCCGCAGCTACCCACAATGCAAGAAAATATTCAACAAATTTCACTTCTTTCAACTTGCATTACATCAAACACAACCCAACAACCTAAACAACTAAATCAAAATCATAACCCAAACTCAATCCATCATTAAATCTTTGTAAATCGAAATATAAAATGGAAAGGGAGATACACATACCTGGACGAAATGTCAGGAGGAGGAGGATCTGTGGTGGAGAAGAAGTTAATGGCGGAGGAAGAAGGTAGTGTTAATGGCAGGAAGGAGAAGATGTACAGGAAGGAGGAAGAAGAAGATGTACAAGAAGAAGAAGATGTAGACGAAGAAGAAGATGCAAAAGAAGAAGAAGAAGAAGAAGTAGACAAACCTTAGAAGAAACAACAACCAGAGGAGGGATGCGTTAATGGCGGGACGAAGAAGAAAAAGGTGTTTGGGTTTGTTTGCAAGAATTTCGGGTCTTTGGGGACACATTGTCATTTTTAAAAGATTACACAATACTTCATTAATCATAATTAACCACTAATCATGTTTAATTAACCTTAATCAATAATGAGGTTATTTACTTAACACTTTCAAACTATATGACATTTTAATTAAATTTGAACTTTATTTGACTTTTTAATAAAATGCCGTTGATGTTAAGGGGACCCACCCAACCTCAGCCTCGGGATGAAGTTTTTATGGTGCAGTGTGATGTCGTTTAATTGGAGTTGTCCTGGACAGTGTGTCTTTTATAACTATTGCCAGAACCTTCGTGTACCTAATAAAATCCACTTCCACCAAAGACATCTAGCTTATTTATATAGAAAAATGTTATCTTTATAAAGACAATACAAAGAGGGCAACAAAGTAATGTCAGCAAGAATGAAAAAACAAAGAAAGAACGGAAAAAGAGAGAGAGAGAATTAATGACAAATTAAAATAATCTTTATTTGAGGAGTAGTAAATTTATAAACCTGTTGCCAATCATTCAAAAGTTTCTCATCAAAATCAATCTAATTTTTGAAAATGATTTATTGAAAAATTGGATGCAAACAAAACTCTAACCTCTTTAGAGATCAACTACTTCTGACTTATAAAGAAGTCTACAACTTCATTATAAAGAGATCCTTGGCATTTACAGCTTTAATGAAATCAAAGTGTCCGTAATCTTTTACAAACAAAGATTTTAGCTTATCTCCAAGATGATTTTTCTGAATATTAATTAAATACTGAACATCTTCAACATCAGAAATTGCATCATTGCCTCCATAGCTCAGAAACAGAGGAAGGTCACTTGGAAGGTTGGCCACATTATAAACAGGCGGTCTGAATGCTTCGTAACGCTTTAGATTATATGGTAGAAACCCATCAAACTTTGCAATCACCTTAGTTCGAATAACTACAATTTCATTTTGCCCGACAATTACATATAGTTTAAGGTTTATTTAATTTTTTCAACCAATATTAAGGTTAGAGATGACAGACTCACTCTGCGAGAGGTGTATCAGATTTTTTATTAATGTCGATTGAGGCTCATTTTTTAGGTACTTATTGATCGCTGAAGCATTGAGACAACAATTAAATCCTGCAATTGGGAAAATTTTAGTTAAAACAATAGTTCACAAAAAGACCGTTGTTGCCCAAGAACAAACAATTAGAGCTCAAAAAATTACCGCTAAGTGATGTTACTAAATCATTGCAGTTAAGCCCAGTAAAAGAACAAATTGATTTGAGAAAACTATCAACAACAGGATCCCTGATATGATCAGAGAACCAAACCATTAAAATTATGAGCATTTTTATGTTAGGAACAAAGTTTATAAATATCTTAAAACTGATTCTTACCCTTTTGGTTTGAACTCTGCTATTCCAATCAACCCAACGGCCTGTTAAGAAAACGAAACATCAATTTTATTCATGTGTTGTGTCTGAAGTAATCATTGACAATGAAATTCTTATAACTCCACTGACCTCTCCGAGAAAAGGATTCATATGAAATAAAAAAAAAAAAAAAAAAAACTTGGAAAATTGTTAAAAGAAAATAAGTGAAACTTAAAAGAGTCAAGATTCAATTAAAAAAATAAAATATTTTAAATAAAGAATAATTATACAAGATAAATACTATTAGACACGGTTGTAGTTTTCTTCAAAGGCAAACATCAACAGTTGCTATGAAAGCAAAAAGTTTTCTCTGAAGAAAATTGCAACACTGTCCAATAGTATTTATCTTAACGAAGTTTTCTGGATTTTCTATCAATTTATATAAGATAAATACTTAAGGAGATAAATAATGGAAGATAAATAAATACTAAAATTCATCTAGATAAATAGATATCTAAATACATTAGATAAAATAAATAAATAAATAAAAATTATGTAAGATAAATACTATTATATAGTGTTGTAGTTTTCTTCAAAGACAGTTACCAGCAGTTGCAATGAAAGCAAAGAATTTTCTTTTAAGAAAATTGCAGTACTATCTAATATACAAAATATTAGAGAAGTTTTCTGGATTTTCTTTTGATTCATATAAGATAAATACTTAAAGAGATAAATAATGGAAGATAAATAAATACTAAAATTCATCTAGATAAATAGATATCTAAATACATTAGATAAAATAAATAAATATTCATGTAAGATAAATAATATTAGACAATGTTGTAGTTTTCTTCAAAGGCAGTTACCAGCAGTTACAATGAAAGCAAAGAGTTTTCTTAAACTCTTTTAAGAAAACTGCAATACTATCTAATTTACAAAATACAGAATTAGAGAAGTTTTCTAGATTTTCTTTCATTCATATAAGATAAATACTTAAAAAGATAAATAAATACTAAAATTCATCTAGATAAATAGATATCTAAATACATAAGATAAAATAAATAAATAAATAAATATTTATATAAGATAAATACTATTAAACAATGTTGTAGTTTTTTTCAACCCAGTATCCAACAGTTGCAATGAAAGCAACAAGTTTTCTTTGAAGAAAACTACAACACTGTCTAATATACAAAATTTTAGAAAAGTTTTCTGGATTTTCTCTCAATTTATATAAGATAAATATTTAAAGACGTAAATAATGGAAAATTAATAAATACTGAAATTCATTTAGATAAATAGATATCTAAATACATTAGATAAAATGAATATAACTCTATCTAAATTATTATATTTAACAAATTTATCTACCCAAATATAATAGATAGATTATATAACATACGTTTTCCATAAATGATTTTGAAAGAGAAAATTATTTATTTGGGTTTTCAATTTTTTTATTTGATTTTTGTATCTTTCGAGGATTTTGGGTCGGGCTGGGATTAGAATCAATCCCCTCTCCGACCCAACATCAATTTGGGGATGATGAGTCATTACCATTCTAGGCCCGGCTCTTAATGAAGTTTTCTGGATTTTCTCTCGATTTATATAAGATAAATATTTAAAGTGATAAATAATGGAAGATATTTAAATGCTAAAATTCATCTAGATAAATAGATATCTAAATACATTAGATAAAATAAATAAATAAGGAAATATTTATGTAAGATAAATGCTATTAGACAGTGTTGTAGTTTTCTTCAAATGCAGTTACTAGTAATTGCAATGAAAACAAAGAGTTTTCCTAAAACTATCTAATTTACAAAATATTAGAGAGGATTTCTGGATTTTCTTTCGATTCATATAAGATAAATACTTAAGAGATAAATAAATACTGAAATTCATCTAGACAAATAGATATCTAAATATATAAGATAAAATAAATAAATAAATAAATATTTATATAAGATAAATACTATTAGACAGTGTTGTAGTTTTCTTCAACCCAGTATCCAGCAGTTGCGATGAAAGCAAAAAGTTTTCTTTGAAGAAAACTACAACACTGTCTAATATACAAAATTTTGGGAAAATTTTCTGGATTTTCTCTCAATTTATATAAGATGAATATTTAAAAAGGTAAATAATGGAAGATAAATAAATACTTAAATTCATCTAGATAAATTGATATCTAAATACATTAGATAAAATGAATATAACTCTATCTAAATTATTATATTTAACAAATTTATGTACCCAAATATAATAGATAGATTATATAACATACGTTTTCCATAAATGATTTTGAAAGAGAAATTTATTTATTTGGTTTTTCAATTTATTTATTTGATTTTTGTATCTTTCGAGGATTTTGGGTAGGGCTGGGATTAGAATCAATCCCCTCTCTGACCCAACACCAATGTGGGGATGATGAGTCATCACCATTCTGGGCCCGTCTCTGACTTTTTACACTTAATCCTCAACATGAATGGGGCAGAGGCTTGCAGGGACAGCCCACAAGGAATTTTGCCATCCCGGCTATTAACAAACTCATGGGTCAAACAAAATAAACTACTTCCTAAATCTATAAACTCAAGTTAATTTTAAACTAGATTGCGTATTCAAATGTTAATTTTAATGTAGAAATAATTATTATTTACCATGATTATATTGATGAAATTTGTTCTTGTAAATAACTGGTCATGTGTGGTTACGTTAACCCCGTCCCATTATGACTCTCTCTCTTCTAGCAGACAAATGCAAGTCAATGCACCAACTAAAGCAAATCCACGCTCAAATGATCGTTTCTTCCCGCATTGACGATCACTTTGCCGCCAGTCGTTTACTTTGCTTTTGCGCTCTATCTTCATCCGGCGATCTTCCCTACGCTATAAAGCTTTTCAACAAAATTGAAAACCCGAATCAATTCATGTGGAACACTCTCATTAGAGCTCAAGCTAGTAATAAAAATCCAGATGAAGCAATTTCCCTTTATGTAAATATGAGGAGAATTGGTTTTGCACCATCTGAGCATACTTTTCCTTTTGTTCTCAAGGCTTGTGCTAGCCTTCGTTCTTTAAATTGTTGTAAACAGGTTCATACCCATGTTTTAAAATCTGGGTTGGATTTAGATTTGCATGTTGTTAACGGTTTAGTCAGAAGTTATTCTGTTTCGAGTGATTTAAATAATGCACGTCGAGTTATTCTGTTTCGAGTGATTTAAATAATGCACGTCGACTGTTTGACAGATTTACTAACAAGAATTTGACCATATGGACCACGATGATACGTGGGTACGCGCAAAATTTTTTTGCTAATGAAGCGTTGCTGCTGTTTGATCAAATGATTTCAGAAGGATTTGAACCCAATAGCGTGACTTTGGCTTCTGTTTTATCTGCGTGCGCACAGTCTGATTGTTTAGAATTAGGAGAAAAGGTTCATGTTTTTATGAGAACGAGAGGGCTCGAAATGGGAGTCATTCTTGGCACTGCGTTGGTGCATATGTATGCAAAAAGTGGAGCCATTTCAAGGGCTAAAGAATTGTTTGATTCCATGCCTAGAGAAATATTGCTAGTTGGAATACTGATTTGTGGGTGGGCTAGTTATGGACATGCCGAGGAAGCGTTCATTCTCTTTCGAAAGCTAGAGAAGGAGCAAATTGCCTGATTTTTTTTCTTCCAAAGTAATGATCTTTTCATGTAATTAAGTCTGTCTTTCAAGAATCATGTTTCATTCCAAGCTCAATTTGTGAACAAAGTCCGTCTAATAGTTGACAAACCTGCTTGATACGTGCATCATCTCCACATGCCTAACATAATAGTATACATTTTTTTTTTTTTTTTGGTATCCGAGCCAACTTTTGCCCATCTTGACTATTCTCCTAGGCTTGAAATTAACGGCCAGCTAAGTCTCAAACTATCCTTTATTAGTAGTCGTGGGGATTCGAATTTAGGACCTCTTGAGTAATACACCCAATAATTCGTAGCGAACCGTCAAACTACTTTGGAGGTGTTTGGTTCAGGGAATGTTGGATTACTGGAAAGTTAAATTACCTTGAAGATTATTATGAATCTTTAGAAAAATGTGTTTAGTTAATTGGTAGGTATGTTATATTAATATGTTTGAATGTGAGAAATAAATTGGTGGGTATGTTATTTAAATTACAGAACTGTTCTCTAATTAAATATTATTATTATATTATTTTTTAATATTGATTATTATTTGGATTATTATAACCCTCTGTAGTTAAAAATTTAGCAAAAATAACCCCATAATAAAAGTTTGGAAAATCAACAAAGCACCCCCACAAACCTAGCCATTGCCGGCTGCCAGCAACCACCACAGGCCGTCGACAACCTAATGGCTCACAGAAGGTAGGAAATGGCCTCCGTGCGCCGTATGGCCATTTCCGGCCAAAATGGCCAGACGTGATAGATTTGGCCGTCGACGGCCAGATCGACGGATTTGGCCTTTGATGGCCAGATTAGATATGCCATCAATGGCCAGATATGTGGCTGGAAATGGCCATATCGACGCATGGCGGACATTTTCGGCCTTCCATGCTCTATTCCGGCTACAGCGGCGGCTGGTCACAATGGTGGTTGCCGGCGGTAGGTGGGTGGGGGTGGTGGCTTGGGTGGGCTACAATTTGTTTTGAATTTAAGGGTAATTTTGTCCAAAAAATTAATTAATTGAGGTGAAATAGTAAAAGCAACATTCATGTAAATAAATTTAAAACTAAGGGCATTATTGTCCTAAAATTTTATTAATAAGGGATAGAATTGTAACAAAAAAAAAAAAAAAAAGATTACCCTAGTAATCTTACAATACCTAAGAAAATGGAGGTAATCAGATTACCTCCAACATTACCATCAATAACTACTATTGATATTTGAAGATTACCGGAATTTTATATTACTTGACAATCAAACGTGGTAATAAAGTAATATAAGATGACATAACCTTAGTAATCCCACGTTACCCCCAACCAAACGCCCCCTTTGTGGTATTTAATGGTATACTGTTTCATTTCACATGGCATTCTCAAATCAATTTGGAATGAAGTCAGGGAGGTTTTCAAACATAATTTTTGATGCAAAAATACACCAACCAGAGTGATCTGATCGACCTTGGCAGGATCGGAACTGATGTGTGCATGATTACGGGTAACCAGCAATAAATAAACAATGAAATGCAGTAAGGAAAATAGCAAAGAGATTTTTAAAGTGGTTCGGTGATAAGCATTCATAATATCTATATATTTGTTATATTTCCTCATGTTTTAATGGTTATAAATGCTTAAATCTTGGGTTTTGATTATGTTTCGTATTTTGTGGAGTAGATTGAGGAGTTAAATCAAATTGAATTCAAAATCAAGAGTTTTGGAGAGAAAAATTTGGAGCTCGAAAAGAGATACATTCCAAAAGCGGATTTTGCTTAAAGCGTGGGCGCGCCTTATTGGATCCGAGATTTTTGACTTAGGGTTACGAATTTGTTGGAGAAAAAGATATATATGACAGCTGGAAAGATTTATTTACCCCTTTCTTAATCTTTAGGATTTGCCAAGACTCCCTATTTTGGTGGGATTTGCTTTTAATTAGTTTCCTGATCTAGATAGGACAACTATTATTAGATGGGTTATAAATAGGGAGATTATTCACAAGAAATTGGACATCTATCTCTACCTCTTTTTCTTCTCTTTTCTTTAGGCTTTCTTTTAAATTATGTGTAGTTAAATACTTTTCTTCCAACTAAAGGATAATTGAAGTTTTGGTTCTTCAAGGATCGTGAGATCTAAATAATTTTCAATGTTCTTTTATTTCTTTACTATTTATATATCTTCTATGTTTATTAACAATTATTGTCTTGATTGATTGATACAAAGGGCCCGTTGTTCAATTATCAGGTTGATAAATTGCCATTTAGAACTTTAAATCCGTAGTTGTTTAAGTGTTCTAATATTAGTGGTAAAATAACATAGTTGATTATAAAGGGATTTTCGATTTATGTTATGAAGATGTATAATCTAGTCTAAATGAATCGAGCTTGTGTATTTGTTGGCTAGAATTGGTAGTCTCTCTAATTATTAATGCTGTCGATAGATTAAATCCTAAGAGCTTGTTTAGGGTTGTTTATTGACAAGGGAAGTAATCAAAGAGCTTGTTTTGGTTATCGAGAAAGTAAGGAGAGATAGGTTGTTAGAGCTTGTTAATAACCATAACCAATTTAGTGAAGAATAGAAGATTTTATCCTTGTATCTGTGATCAATTCTCTGAACCAATTCTGAAATTATACCTTTGGTTGGATATTTGCCTGATATTGATTTTTCCTTAATTTTTAGTTGATTATAATTGTTTTCTTTTATTTCACTTCGAAATTTCAAAACCCCCTTTTTTTTTTTGCTTTAATTTTCATTAAAATAAATCTACCCAATCTCTGTGGATACGACCTTGCTCATCACTATTACAATTTGTATTTATTTGAGAGTGAGAATTTTATTATTTGTTGGATTCGACACCCACCATTCGGCGAGATAAACTCTTGACCCTACGTCCACTGTTCTTATATTAGCTGTGAGAGCTTACAATGATAGTCCTTGACTAATTTGCTAACCCCTTTCTCATCGTAGGAGGGGGTTTATATACAAACTGTGTACAAAGGAAAGAGCGAAAATAAAGGGATTACAACCAAGTTTGAAATGCAACTTCAATATTCTCGCAATTGGGCGCTGTGATTGCGCAAAGATTACTGTCGATCTGATCTTTCCCGATATATCCTGGATTTGAAGTTATCTGTGAATTGGTTGAACAACTGTAAGGATTGGTTGCAACTAGCTTGTGCTAGGTCGAGCTATAACTCGACGAGCTTATGTTGGGTTGGACAATCGGAAGAGTCGAGTTGGTTCTGGATCAGGCTATAACCTCGTAATCCTCCAAGCTTGATGGAAAAATCACACACAACATTTGCCCCCTAGTGTTGATGCTCGTTTCATGCTTTGAAGACTATTGCTCGATTTGATATCAAGCTCGGCATTCATCGACGGGGTATTGGATGCAGATTCGGTCGAGCTCGTACTCATGTCCAATCGACGTACTCCACACTTGACCTTTTCTCTTTTGGGACATCCTCGATGAACCCAGAATTTGAAAAGAAAAGGTACTTGTGTAAATTCCAGGTGGTCATGTCGCATTAAATGCGGCAGCATTTGGCAGTTACTTTTCATCACGCGTGGGCGACTAGGGGTGTGCAAAACCGGATATCCGATCCGGTTGTCCTTTATTCTGATCCAATCCGAATATTTGGATAAGCCAAGAAACCAATCCGAATTCGATCCGATTTCTTGACTGATCCAGTCTTGATCCGATCCAAATTTTCGGATTGGATCAACCGGATATCTAGTTTTAATCCAAATTTCAAAACAACATTACGACAAGAACTTTATTTGAAATTAAATCTTTTATATTTATCTAAAATTAAACTAAATTGGAGTTAAAAGACATAAAGATTTGATGAAATAACAAAACAATAGTCAAATGGAACACAAAAAAATCTGCCACAGCAAAACAGCATCGAAACACCTTGACAGAGCAATGAACAGTACAAACTACAAAACAGCAGCAAGAAACCGAAAACTACAGCCACCAAACAGCCTGAAAAATGCTAGTAAACCAGTAGAGCAGACCAATACCTTTTGTGTGCTTTCCTTCAATGCCGATTCTTCACAAAGAATATGTTGCTTATTGTTTATTTAAAACATTGAACCTATCTTGCTATCCACTAGACCAATATCCTATATACCAAAACACAAAAACTACTGCTCTAAATATCAAACAGACCTAACAAATTAAGGAGAAGGAATAATAAGTCAATCTTAACAAATGTTGGAACAACAATGACCACTAAATCATCACAGCAATCATTTCTCAAATAGACAAACTCTTGAGCTTCAGCCAACTAAGTTATAGGATACCAAGGCTTTTAGTAGATCTAAGAATGAGATGAAATGAAAACATATCTCTCAAAATCGTGGAGAAGAGGCACCGATTATTTTGGTTTTTTTTCGTTGATTCTGGAGTGAGGAAAAAAGTTAGGGATTTGGGATCTAGAGTTAAGCAAAAAATGATTTGGGATTATTTTTATTTGGTTTTTAAAAACCGAATCGGATACGGATGTCTGATTTTTTGCACAGTCGATCCAAAAAATATGAATCTTCTTATATATCTAATCCGAATCCGATCCAAATTTTCGGATATCCGATTTTTTCGGATCGGATCAGATCTAGACCAGATACCAGATATCGAATTATTTTGCACACACCCATGGGCGACTACAGCTGTCCACGCGTGAAGTTGAGGCAACGTGCAATGATGGTTATGATTATGGCAGTCTGACGGTTGATCGCCCTTTTGTGGATAATTGACACATGGCCACGTCCAAGGGCCAAGATTGCTCAACGAATGGAGGGTCGAGATCTGATGTAGATTGATGGCTACGATTAAACCCTGCCCTTTCGTCTCCCATGCAAACCACTACAAAAGCGAGCGAACTCATTAGAAAGCTTACACACCTTGCAAAAATTCTCAAACGTTCTTGCTTACTCTGTCATTGCTTCTTCATCTTCATAGTGCGTTTCTGATGATTTTTTCCTATTCTCTTGTTTCGATAAG